ACACTAAGCAGGACAGTACCGAAATGAAATAGCTGTAGGTGAACGTGCCACTTCCTCGAGTCCCGTGATCATAGCGGGAATTCCTCGACTCTACAGATAACGTCCATTTGTTTTACATCTCTCACAGCTCCAAACAATCGTGATAGTACAAGCAAGTACTATATGAGGCCACCTTTTTCAGCACACCGCACAGCAGGAAGCGGAAGGTGGTCCACCTACACTGTACAGGAGAGGGTGGTAAAGTCCACCTACACTGTACAGGAGAGGGTGGTAAGATCCACCTACACTGTACAGGAGAGGGTGGTAAGGTCCACCTACACTGTACAGGAGAGGGTGGTAAGGTCCACCTACACTGTACAGGAGAGGGTGGTAAGGTCCACCTACACTGTACAGGAGAGGGTGGTAAGGTCCACCTACACTGTACAGGAGAGGGTGGTAAGGTCCACCTACACTGTACAGGAGAGGGTGGTAAGGTCCACCTACACTGTACAGGAGAGGGTGGTAAGGTCCACCTACACTGTACAGGAGAGGGTGGTAAGGTCCACCTACACTGTACAGGAGAGGGTGGTAAGGTCCACCTACACTGTACAGGAGAGGGTGGTAAGATCCACCTACACTGTACAGGAGAGGGTGGTAAGGTCCACCTACACTGTACAGGAGAGGGTGGTAAGGTCCACCTACACTGTACAGAAGAGGGTGGTAAGATCCACCTACACTGTACAGGAGAGGGTGGTAAGGTCCACCTACACTGTACAGGAGAGGGTGGTAAGGTCCACCTACACTGTACAGGAGAGGGTGGTAAGGTCCACCTACACTGTACAGGAGAGGGTGGTAAAGTCCACCTACACTGTACAGGAGAGGGTGGTAAGGTCCACCTACACTGTACAGGAGAGGGTGGTAAGGTCCACCTACACTGTACAGGAGAGGGTGGTAAGATCCACCTACACTGTACAGGAGAGGGTGGTAAGATCCACCTACACTGTACAGGAGAGGGTGGTAAGATCCACCTACACTGTACAGGAGAGGGTGCTAAGGTCCACCTACACTGTACAGGAGAGGGTGGTAAGGTCCACCTACACTGTACAGGAGAGGGTGGTAAGGTCCACCTACACTGTACAGGAGAGGGTGGTAAGGTCCACCTACACTGTACAGGAGAGGGTGGTAAGGTCCACCTACACTGTACAGGAGAGGGTGGTAAGATCCACCTACACTGTACAGGAGAGGGTGGTAAGATCCACCTACACTGTACAGGAGAGGGTGGTAAGATCCACCTACACTGTACAGGAGAGGGTGGTAACGTCCTGGACCATTCTCAATCGACTTGAGAATGGTCCAGGACGGACCGAAACGTCGTCGTCCCTTCACTTTCTAGTGTGTGGTCTGGTCAACATATTTCAGCCACGTTATTGTGACTCATCGTCTGCATCATCAGGTGACTACCAACGTGGTCACACACACACACACACACACACACACACACACACACACACACACACACACACACACACACCTGTCACTGACCTATTCGTGGTGTAGGGTAATGAGTTACTTCCGCTAATCACACTCAACCCGAAAAAGAGTATTGTTGGTGACGTCACAGAACTAAAGTAAAACTAAAGGAATACTTTTTACAATATAATGTACCAGACGACGGTACAGGGGTACTAATGTACCAGACGACGGTACAGGGTACTAATGTACCAGACGACGGTACAGGGTACTAATGTACCAGACGACGGTACAGGGTACTAATGTACCAGACGACGGTACAGGGTACTAATGTACCAGACGACGGTACAGGGTACTAATGTACCAGACGACGGTACAGGGTACTAATGTACCAGACGAGGGTACAGGGTACTATTGTACCAGACGACGGTACAGGGTACTATTGTACCAGACGACGGTACAGGGTACTAATGTACCAGACGACGGTACAGGGTACTAATGTACCAGACGACGGTACAGGGTACTAATGTACCAGACGACGGTACAGGGTACTAATGTACCAGACGAGGGTACAGGGTACTATTGTACCAGACGACGGTACAGGGTACTATTGTACCAGACGACGGTACAGGGTACTAATGTACCAGACGACGGTACAGGGTACTAATGTACCAGACGACGGTACAGGGTACTAATGTACCAGACGACGGTACAGGGTACTAATGTACCAGACGACGGTACAGGGTACTATTGTACCAGACGACGGTACAGGGTACTATTGTACTAGACGACGGTACAGGGGTACTATTGTACCAAACGACGGTACAGGGTACTATTGTACCAGACGACGGTACAGGGTACTATTGTACCAGACGAGGGTACAGGGTACTAATGTACCAGACGAGGGTAGAGGGTACTAATGTACCAGACGAGGGTAGAGGGTACTAATGTACCAGACGAGGGTAGAGGGTACTAATGTACCAGACGAGGGTAGAGGGTACTAATGTACCAGACGACGGTACAGGGGTACTAATGTACCAGACGACGGTACAGGGGTACTATTGTACCAGACGACGGTACAGGGTACTATTGTACCAGACGACGGTACAGGGTACTAATGTACCAGACGACGGTACAGGGTACTATTGTACCAGACGACGGTACAGGGTACTATTGTACCAGACGACGGTACAGGGTTACTAATGTACCAGACGACGGTACAGGGGTACTATTGTACCAGACGACGGTACAGGGTACTATTGTACCAGACGACGGTACAGGGTACTAATGTACCAGACGACGGTACAGGGTACTATTGTACCAGACGACGGTACAGGGTACTAATGTACCAGACGACGGTACAGGGGTACTAATGTACCAGACGTCGGTACAGGGGTACTATTGTACCAGACGACGGTACAGGGTACTATTGTACCAGACGACGGTACAGGGTACTAATGTACCAGACGACGGTACAGGGTACTAATGTACCAGACGACGGTACAGGGTACTAATGTACCAGACGACGGTACAGGGTACTAATGTACCAGACGACGGTACAGGGCACTATTGTACCAGACGACGGTACAGGGTACTAATGTACCAGACGACGGTACAGGGTACTAATGTACCAGACGACGGTACAGGGTACTAATGTACCAGACGACGGTACAGGGGTACTAATGTACCAGACGACGGTACAGGGTACTATTGTACCAGACGACGGTACAGGGTACTATTGTACCAAACGACGGTACAGGGGTACTAATGTACCAGACGACGGTACAGGGTACTATTGTACCAGACGACGGTACAGGGTACTATTGTGCCAAACGACGGTACAGGGGTACTAATGTACCAGACGATGGTACAGGGGTACTAATGTACCAGACGACGGTACAGGGGTACTAATGTACCAGACGAGGGTACAGGGTACTAATGTACCAGACGAGGGTACAGATAACGAATAGTTCTTCGGATTATTTGATTCAGAAGGATTCCTTCTGAAGATGTATTAATATACGAAAGTACTTAAGGAAATTCCTTTCTCAATTCTTCCTCGGTGGTCTGACACTCAATATTATATATATATATATATATATATATATATATATATATATATATATATATATATATATATATATATATATATATATATATATATATAAAACGGCTGGCGCAAACCTGGCTTGGATGGCACCATCCAGGAAGTGGATGGTTGAAGCCTCGCTTGGATGGCTGGGGAACCATCCAGGAAGCTCCCACTCACCACAATTACATTTAAACAATGGGAGCCTAAAGGAAAACAACTTGCATCGCACAGTATACAACAACGTGGGTGGAACAGTTAAGACTCGCCATGGAATGGAACGGGATGGTTAGCAATGAATCGCTTGGATAAAGCTTAATTTATTCCAGAAGAGAGATAATGACGATTGTGACAAAGAGTTACAGGGACGAGGAGATGAGTGGCAGCCTCTCGTCTCCTGACACACACTCAACATTCCACACGAGACGAGGCTCACGAAACTCATATTTAAACTCTCAAAAAGTAACTCTTAAACTAATCTGGAGAAGAGTGCCTCCCTGTCCTGGAGGCTCACTGACATCGGGAACTATTTAAGAACTCTACAATTCTATTTCACTTCCATGGTGGTACTGACAGCCGAGTGGACAGCGCTCAGGATTCGTAGTCCTGAGGTTCCGGGTTCTATCCCCGGTGGAGGCGATTTCAAACAGGCGGTTTCTTTCACCCTGATACCTCTGTTCACCTAGCAGTAAAAAGGTACCTGGGCGTTAAACAGCTGCTACGGGCTGCTTCCTGGGGGTGTGTAACAAAAAAGGAGGCCTGATCGAGGACCGGGCCGCAGGGAAGCTAAGCCCCGAAATCATGTTGCAACCCGTTCTCGCACTTGCTTTTAGTCAATATTGGCTTATTTAATAAGTGCATATGTGACATACTAATTGATTGTGAATATTTTAGTTTACCTTGAAAAGTTTCATAGAAAACACCTACTTCACCTAACCTTCTTAGTATGTATGTTAAGATAAGCATCTTATTACTTCTTATTTACAATTATTACTTAACCTATCAACGGTATAGGTTAAGGTTAGGTAAGGTCAGTGTTTTCTATGAAGCTTTTCAAGGTAAACTAAAATATTCACAATCAATTAGTGTCACATATGCACTTATTAAATAAGCCAATATTTACTGTAAGCAAGTGCGAGAACGGGTTGCATCTAGATAACCTCAAGAAGATGGTGACCCGGCTATATAATCTGCTTGGAAATAAAAAAATGTTAAACGAGAATGAATTTTGATGTCAGATCTTAAACTAGAAATGTGCCCTCGAGGGCTAGTGCTCCCGAGGGCTGCAGGATCAGGAAGGACATCGCCGCCATCTGATTACTAAAAGTAAAGGAGCAAGAGGAGATAACGAAGAGATGAGGAATATGAGACTATGATCAAGACGGGAGGGTACAGGGTACCCTCCCGATCACAACCAGAGAAGCAGAAGGATATGACCAAGACAGGAAGATGTGGGACTCACGGTGGTGAAGGTGACGGGCGTCTCCATGATGAACTGACGCTTGGGTCCTCCCTCCCTCGTCCTGTTGGGCGGCAGCCCTCCGCTGCTGCTGCCATTGTTGTTGTTGTTGGTGCTGTCTTTGTTGTTGTTGTGCTGGTGGTCGGGGTTGGGTCCGCGGAGTCCTTTGGCGCTGAAGGCCCGCTGCAGCCGCGCCGCCGTCGTCGACCGCTTCCTCATTAGCCCCTTCATCTTCTGCAGGAGGAAAGAAAGCATACACAGGTTATATATAGTGTTTGGCTGTCACCAGCTGTCAGAAGGCCGCACTCACCAGTGACTCCGTCCACCACCACCACCCACTACCCCATCCCCGTCAGGTAACAAATAAAGTACAGGTTCTCAACTCGGGAAGCACCACCACACAACGTTGATCACAATATTTCAACACGCATCTCCGTCAAGACGCACTCATCAGTCAAGACGCACTCATCTCAAAAGTTACTCCGGAGATTTCAACGCCGCATTAAAGGTGTAGCCACACGCACCCTATATGTTCTCACACACCCTCTTCCACACACACACACACACACTAGGCGTCGACTCCCTCCTGTGACGTTGTTGACTGTGTCAACAACGTCAACCATCAACCTACACCTGGCTTAACCCTGGCAGCCACGCCGCAGGTAACACACACACACACACACACACACACACACACACACACACAGGAATCTGTACACCTGTTGATTGACGGTTGAGAGGCGGGACCAAAGAGCCAGAGCTCAACCCCCGCAAGCACAACTAGGTGAGTACAACTAGGCGAGTACCCACACACCTACCCACACCGAGACCAAAGAGCCGAGGCTCAACCCCCGCAAGGACAACTAGGTGAGTACTCAGGGTCCTCGTGGACGAGCGGACAGCGATCAGGATTTAGTGTCCACAGACAAAGGTTCGCTTCCCGGCAGAGGCAATGAAGTTTCTTTCGCGTGATGCCTTTGTTCACCTAGCAGTAAATAACTATCTGTGAGTTTGACAGTTTCTGGGGGAGTGTATCTTATGGAGTGTCAGCAGTTAGCCTAGTAACCAGATATACGTACACACACAATACCGCACACATGGCACATCACACACACACGGCACATCACACACACACGGCACATCACACACACACACACACACACACACACACACACACACACACACACACACACACACACACGGCACATCACACACACACACACACACACACACACACACACACACACACACACACACACACACACACACACACACACTCGTCCCGGGACAAAACTCGGGGAGGATTAACTGAAAATAATCCATATCAGTTCGCCCCGGGTCACCCAGCAGTAACTGGGGACCTGGGAGCACCGACTGGCGAGTCGTGTTCCAGGGAAAACTAGCGGGGAAGGCTTATCATGAACTATAAGAAGGGAAAGCTCTCAGCCTGCTAATGATACTCTTAACGGTTCAAAAGGGCCACCACTTACGGGCTATTCATGCCCGTGCCACCTTTTGGGTGGCTTAATCTTCATCACTCAATCAATCAGCCTGCTAACAGAAGTCACAAGTCGTCTGCTCCCGTACCCACATGTGTGCACAAAATTATGTGCAGTAGATATGACAGAAATAGGTCTGCAGTCAGTACATTAGACGAAGACGGATATCTTGCGATGATTTCGGGGATCAACGTCCCCGCGGCCCGGTCCCCGACCAGGCCTCCGGGACGGGGTATAAATAGTAAATACGTAACTCCTCCTTCGTGACTCTGTCCCCTGGTTTCTTCAAAGGCACGTCCCCCCCCCCCCCCTTTAGTGCCAGCCCCCCTCGCCTCATGAGGGGCACCTCACCCTTGGCGCCAGTCCCCTCGCCCCCTGAGGGGCACCTCAGGGGTGCCTCTGCTCCCTCCACCTGCTGAACACGGCACTAATTCCTACACTGCCTCCAGCGAAACCACATGCGAGTAGCTTGGCTGCTCCCTGGCCTCCCATTGGTGGCCCGGACTGGTGTAGCGAGGCTCCAGTGAGCTGTTTGACCCGCCAATCAACCCGCAATACACGAACCAGTGAAGGAGTTATCTGAAGTATACACGGAAATTTAATTGAATTCCAAACTATCAAAATGTATGACAGACAAATATGTTACAATCAAAATATATTAAAACAAATTTAATAATAAAAAATAATAATAATTGTATATAATGATAGTGATAAATCAATCACTACAAGTTATTAAAGGCTGCTACTGGCTGGTCACTGTTGACAGTGACGACCTGCCAAGGCTGGTCAGTGTTGACAGTGACGGCCTGGCAAGGCTGGTCAGTGTTGACAGTGACGGCCTGGCAAGGCTGGTCAGTGTTGACAGTGACGGCCTGGCAAGGCTGGTCAGTGTTGACAGTGACGGCCTGCCAAGGCTGGTCAGTGTTGACAGTGACGGCCTGCCAAGGCTGGTCAGTGTTGACAGTGACGGCCTGGCAAGGCTGGTCAGTGTTGACAGTGACGGCCTGGCAAGGCTGGTCAGTGTTGACAGTGACGGCCTGCCAAGGCTGGTCCAGTTATTACTAACAGTGACTCTCCCTCTCTCCCTCCTCCCTCTTTATTTTCGTAAAATTAAAATACCCAAAAATGTAGCAAATGTGCGAGGTGTGCCCAGAGCACCTGTACCCCCCCCCCCCCCTGGCCGGGATGACAGGTACACAGGGCCGGAGCACGTGAAGGGACCAGCCACACACACACAACCGGCTCTCAGGGAACAGGTCCGGCCGGTCCAGCACCGCGGGTACACGCTAACTGTAGCGGCTCCCACACACGCCACACACCAGTCCCCGCCCCACCAGTGGGCCAACCTCACCCTTATGCTCACCCTGCACAAGGAACAACTATGCTACCCAGGCTGGGCACCACCAGCTCTATGTTCTCTATGCATACGGCACAATGACCACACGCAGATGAACAAGTGGAATGCGTTAAGAAGTGTAGATATGACACACACCAACAGGCTCCGCAACTTGTGCAATAGACGATTGAAGGTCAAGAGGTGGGAACAAACAGCTGCAGCTCAATCTACACAAACACACACACAGAGTAGGGGCCGGTGGCTGAGTGGACAGCACGCTGGACACGTAATCCTGTGGTCCGGGTTCGATCCCCGCGCCGGCGGATACAGATGTGCAGTTTCTTTCACCCTGATGCAGTAAATAGGTACCTGGGAGTTAGACAGCTTTTACGGGCTGCTTCCTGGGGGATGTGTGCGTGCGCGCGCGCGCGCGCGTGTGTGTGTGTGTGTGTGTGTGTTAAAGAGAAATATATGTAGTAGATTTAAGACGTTAAATAGATTGGTTAGAAAGGCGGGGTCTAAGAGCAAATAGCTGGATTCTGCAGAGACAAATAGTAAATACAAATACAGACGCACACGAAAAACTAAAGAGTGTAAACACGGAACCATCTGGGCTCCTTGACGTGGAGCGAACACTTGGAACACAGACTACAGGGAACAGTCACCAGCACCGCCCCAGCCTTCCCCTCCCTCCACCCACCACGCTACTGTCAACCCTTAAGGTGCCCTCCAGGACTAGACACCGACTGCCACGGCGCAACACTCTTCCCCCTTGTGTCTATCTTGCACATGCGCGTGACACTCACCCGCATGTGCGAAGCGTCAAATAGCAACCCGTTCTCGCAAATTTAATAAGTCAATATTGACTTATTAGTTGCGTGCATAGGTGACATACTAAACACAATAGCTTCCCTTGAAAAGCTTCATAGAAAACACCGACCTTACCTAACCTACTTAGTATGTTAAAATAAGCATCTTATAGCTTCGTAATTACAATTGTTACTTAACCTATTATAGGTATAGGTTAGGTAATAATTGTAATTACGAAGCAATAAGATGCTTATCTTAACATACTAAGTAGGTTAGGTAAGGTCAGTGTTTTCTATGAAGCTTTTCAAGGGAAACTATTATGTTAAGTATGTCACCTATGCACATATTTAATAAGTCAATATTGACTTATTAAATTTGCGAGAACGGGTTGCAAATAGATACTGGAGTGTATCGGAACCCATGCTGGTCCCAGCCGCCTACAATATCAACGTCTAGTTGAGAATAAGACAGCTAAATTTGTATGCTTTATGAACAGGAGTTCAAATATGAAGCATTTAGGGTGAGGCCAGGCTGCCCCACACACACAAGACAGACGAGCGCGGGCCTCCTGGCGTCTCCTGGCGTCTCCTGCACCACTAACCTGTAACGCGTTAATTCCCCCCCCCCCCCGCGGGGCTCTCCCTCCCTAGACACAAGCAACGCACTAAAGGCAAAAACCACTGAACGCAGCATGAAGAGGGCAATACGTAACTAGAGGTCAGTAGAGAGCACTGTAAACAGTCCTTAGAGTAGAGAACATACACCCTCTCTTGAGATATCCACGCTCTTCCTACGGGCCTTAAGAGAGTTTGTCCTTGAACCCTTGAACCCTTAGCACATACTGCTAAGCGCGTACCCGAAACGCTGTGCGTATTAGTGGCTTTAGGTATTGTATGTACTAACTCTATCTAGAAATCCAACATTATGTTTGTAACTCTTCTTCAATGTATGTACTTTTACCTGAATAAAAATTTGAATCTGACACTTGCGTAAAGGAGATCATTTTGGCACGTTAGTTGCGCAGCTTGTATCATTTCGGGTACCCAGGTGTAGGTAGATACCACAGCAGTATTACAATATATAATATATCGGAAACACTGCGACGTCCACGAGAACTCCAAACCGGCCGTGATATCAGCACCACGTGCCCAACCTGCAATGGTATTTAACATGCAGGTGTGTGCGTGTAGGGAGTGTGAGTGCGTGTAGGGAGTGTGCGTGTAGGGAGAGGGTTGAGTGTGTTGTTATTGTATCACGTGTTCTAGATAACCCCCCCTCCCCCCCCCCCCCACCTCCCTGGTTATTCCCACACAACAAAGTGAGGAGGGCGGCGGTGCATCACTACATGATGGTGTTACCTGGTGAAGACAACACTATCATCTTGACACTGTCCTCGTGCCTCGTCATGCCCAGGCGAAGAGGGCGAGGCTCTCATTGTAACACTGAGCCGCCAGCACTCCTCGTCTACCAGTTGTCACTGTACTTGTGTCCTGGTCATACTGCCTGTACTGTACTTATGTGAGGGCAGGGGGGGGGGTAAGTACAAAGAAAGAAGAAAGTGAGAAAGATACAAAGAGTAAGATAGAAAG